TGTGTTCAGGGAAGGCGGGCCGCGGGTAGACGCTAGTCACGCCACTAGTGCCGCCTAGCGGCGAAAGTACAAACAAGGCCCGCAGAGTTCAAATAAAGCCAAAATAAAAATCCGTCTAAATAATCCGTCGATAATCGAAACCGTCGATAAAAAATCCGTCGATAAAGAGGGAGTACTGTACATAGCGTTTTAGGCCCGCGCGCTCTGTTTACTCCACACTTTGTTTGAAACACGTGTGAAGTTTTTAAGTGTCCTCAGTGAATTCTGATTACTTTCTCCAATTTTGTGACTATGGAAAAGAAGAATATCTCTGGGAAGCACTCTGGTGATCGCATTTCCGGTGGTGATCGTAAAAGAAAGGCTATAACACTTGAAGAAAAGCTTGATGTTTCATGACTCCTCAGCCTCAACATCAACCTTCTCCCCCATCAAGTTATATTCATATTTTTTCAAGGTAAAGTGTAACATTTACTGTATGATTTCATTATTAGATATGAATGTAACATTTATTTAGACTGTGCTATCCTTTGTGTTAGGCTAACTACGAAATTTTTTTTCGATTTGGAGTAATCTGCACCTAACCCTATTTTCTCCATAAGCCCTGTTATTTCTATTACACGATGTTTTACAAGAACACAACTATCGCGTTATAGCAGAACTACCTGTACGTCATTTCAGCAAAAATATTACATTAACATATTCTCAGAAATAAATAGTAGTTTTGTTGAAACGTAATATACAGTATTTAATATTAAAATGCAAAAAGAGCTATAAAAACAATTAATATTGTACACCCGCAATGTACTGGCTGGCATCTTCACTCGTCCCTGCTCCCGCCAGTCACCACTCCTCCCCGCTCTATCCCCCCGCCTCCTCCACATCGTCACTACTGTTGTATTACAATAATATTCTATCCTAATTCACTTGAATAAATACTACGATACCATATTTCTGAATATTTTCATTAAAATCCATCAAAATCATTTTCCTTGTCATCGTCTTAAGCACCAAACAGCTCCTCCCAGTCTTCTCCTTGAACAGGGCTAGAGGGTACGTGTTTTTCGAATCGTTTTCAGTTAAAAAAATGTTACATTACATGTATATTTTACCTAAACTGCGCCTGAATGAATATATTCTCAGAAATAAATAGTAGTTTTGCTGAAACGTGATGTATTTAAATGTAAAATAGGATAAAATACATGACAAAAACAAAAGACTTTACCTAACCTTCCGATGTTCAAGAGACGTTACTCGTTTTTTTAATAGCTTTCGGTTAAAATACTGTTATATTACAATGATATGATATTCATACTGTGCTTGATATACTACATTCACGGAAATGTAATATTTTTGCTGAAATGACGTACGTATTACAGTGGAAAGTGCGATAAAATCGTGACGAAAACAATGACTTTCGCTTTCTTTCTTTCAAAAGATGTTACCGTAATCGCTTTTCGAATGGTTGTCAGTTAAAAAACTGTTGCATCACAAGTGAATTAGGATAGAATATTATTGTAATACAACAGATTTTAACTGAAAACCATTCGAAAAGCAATTACGGTAACATCTTTTGAACGAAAGAAAGCGAAAGTCATTGCTTTTGTCACTTTCCACTGTAATACGTACATCATTTCAGCAAAAATATTACATTTCCATATTCTCAGAAATAAATTGTAGTTTTGCTGAAACGTAATGTATTTCAATGTAAATTAGGATAAACTATATGAAAACAAAAGACTTTACCTAACCTTCCGATGTTCAAGATATGTTACTCGTTTTTTTAATAGTTTTCGGTTAAAATACTATTATATTAGTGATATTCAATTCATACTGTGCTTGATATAATACATTCACGGAAATGTAATATTTTTGCAACTACAATGCTGATGTCAACACGAGTGGTTACAGCGAGACTGACTGAGTGAGGGACAGCTACGTGTGTGTGTGTGTGTGTGTGTGTGTGTGTGTGTGTGTGTGTGTGTGTGTGTGTGTGTGAGGTTGCGAGAGCGGGCGGTGTCCCGTGTTCGGTGCCGCGCCCGAGTTGAATGGCGCGCGATTTGAATGTACTTCAATTACTTCAATATACAGAATATTCCTCCGGCGGGGCAATCCGCGTATTTACACATTCGTGTATGCTCAACCCGCGTATGTTGAGGGCCGACTGTACTTTTCCATTTTCTTCCCAACTCAATATTCATCAGAATTTTTCGTCTTTGTTTTTACCCCATCATTTGAACCGCCCGGCACTCAGACGGTCTTTCACCACCACTATCAACCCCTCCAATACCCCCAGGTACTTTTGAGGCCATTAATCCGCACGAGAACACCGCGCCAAGCGAGAGTGAATAAAAAAAAAAGTACACAAAGGCTAAAGTCACTAACACACAGCGGGAATGTGGATTAACACGGTCAAAGTGGCTGCCTGAACAGCTGACTGGTGCTTTGCGCTCGGTAAATACTCACCAGTAGTATTAAGCGAGATTTATCCTGCACTTATTATTCTACAATTATTAGGTAGTTGTGATTGCATTTAAATTTAAACTCTCTTTGACCGCCAACTTTGAATTCGCCAAACTGGAGGGTTTACTGTATATTTATTTTACCAAACTCTTAGATAAACTATTCTAGATTATTATAGTAAAGAAATGGAGTTTCTAACTTAAATGGAACTGCATTTACAGACTCCGGTAGTTTAACTAATGGAAAACATCCCCAGCACCCAGAAACATTCTGGGGAAGTGGGCTAGTGTCTGTGTGTGCAGGATGTCTAGTTTAGTCACTCGGAAACTTTTCCCAGTAACCGGAAAATATTCCGGGATAAAAAATATTTCCAGGTTTGAGAAAGTCATCTGGTTAGCCAGAAATTTCTCATCTCCAGAAGTGCTCTGCACCAATTGTTCCGGCTAGTGAGGATATCAATGTACAGGATACACAATACAATTAAATGTGAGGAATAAATAAAAATAATACCAATAAATAAGTTACAACAAAAAATACAGCTAGAACCCGACTTACGACTGCTTCGACTTACGACCGCCGCTGTTGTGACCATTTTTTTTCTTTTTTCTTCAAATGACACACGCATTTTCTATACTGAAACGTTTCCAGTTAATGTAGTCTCCATGTATAATTAGAAAATTATGGGGGCCCCTTGTGCATTCAGCTGACTACATTAAAGGTAAGTGCTCAGTCACACTGTATCCATTCCTCATTATTTATTACTTTCACTGTACTGTATCTATTCCTCATTATTTATTACTTTTACTGTACTGTATTTCATTGTAGATTTTTTATTAATTTTTTTTTTTTTATCTATGTCGGACTTACGACCATTCGGACTTACGACCTGGATTTGGGTCCCTAACCCCGTCGTAAGTCGGGGTCTAGCTGTACTGTACAGGGATGTCTCACTTATCGCAGAGGTTACGGGCATGAAACTCGTTGCGAATATCGAAATTGGGAATAGCGGAGCAATTTCTCCCATAAGAAATAATGTAAATAGGGGGAACACGGGCATCACGGTGGTCATGGACGTCAGATTTTAACACTTGTTTTACTCAATACATTAGATCAAAATAGATATAGAAACAAGGGCATAGTATCAACTAAACATCAATGACAAACACTGAGTTTATTAGGCACATATGTTTACAAGTACAGTATACTTTACAAGTTGGAGTATGTGAGTGTTTGAATGTTTATGTGCGTAGGTAAGTGAGGTAAGTTTTAAACGTAGACTTAATTTACCTCTGATGTGCTGTGTTGCTTGCTTGCTGAAGTTGGCATTAGGGAAGAGGGTGAAGGTTTACTGGGGTAAGAGGAGGCTGGGGTCGTCAGCCACCTCACTCTCCTCACTGCCAGGGTCGTCAGCCACCTCACTCTCCTCACTGCCAGGGTCGTCATCACTGCCAGGATTGTCAGCCACCTCACTTTCCTCACTGCCAGAGTCGTCATCACTGCCAAGGTTGTCAGCCACCTCACTCTCCTCACTGCCAGGGTCATCAGCCACCTCACTCTCCTCACTGCCAGGGTCGTCAGTCACCTCACTCTCATTATCGTTGTCAATTTGCACTGAAAGCTGTGGTTCACTTGTTGAAGGCTGTTGTTCACTCATTGAAGGCTGTGGTTTTACACTGGTCTTGAACAGCTGCCTAAATGCTGTGTTCTGTTTGGATGTACGTGGGGTGGTTGGTGCACTGGGGGTTGAAGGTTTGGCCGCGATAACTGCATCAAGAGTCATTTTTTGTGCATTCTTCCTCTTCTCCTCAAGCACCTCGTAGTATGCTCGTATGTCTTTCTTGACATTGCAGATGATAGAGCAACTTCACTCAACATTAGGGTCCATTTCTAATGCCATATCCATCGCCATCTCAAATGAAGAAATCAGCTTCCTTTGGTTCCGTACAGTGAGGAGTTGTGTTGGAGATTCATCTGTATCTTCTACTGTTGCAAGTGTCATTTCTTCCTGCTGAAGCCTCTTCAGTTCTATCAGGTCTTCATTGGTAAGTTCTTCATTGTGAGAGTCGAGGAGGTCTTCTACTTCAGCGTCATCCACTTCATCGAATCCAGCCTTCTTTGCAAGTCACAATAGTCTTCCTTATTACAGGCACTGAAGGGAAACCAACGAAGTTATGCACACACTTGGGCCACAGCTTACGCCACACACCGTTCATGTTATGTTGTGTTATTGCCTCCCATGAATCACTGATGTTTTTATCGCTTTCCTGATGTTGTAGTGTTTTTTCCAAAACTCCCGGATTGTAGGTTTCCCTTCTCCATCGGTCCCCTCAATCAGCTGCTCCATGATACGCTGAGTGTAGAGCGCCTTGAATGTAGAGATGATGCCTTGGTCCATGGGTTGCAGCAAAGCCGTGGTGTTGGGAAGCAAAAACACAACTTTAATGTTCTTACACCAGTCAACCATAGCTGGAGGATGACCTGGTGCATTGTCGATCACCATCAGAGCTTTATCATCAAAATTACTTTCCTTATTATAGCGACTAATGCGACCGGAACATGTAGTCGTGCATCACAGACCCTGTCAACCATGCCTTACGGTTTGAACGCCAGACGACGGGAAGTTGTCCCCTCACAACTCCCCTCAGAACATGGGGTGTTTCAGACCGGTATACAAGGAGAGGCTTTAACTTCAGGTCACCCTCAGCATTTCCACCAATCAATAGAGTGAGGCAGTCCTTGGCAACCTTGAATCCCGGTGTGGTCTTTTCCTCCTTAGATATGTAGGTTCGTGAAGGCATTTTATTCCAGAAGAGTCTGGTCTCGTCCAAGTTGAAGACTTGCTTAGGACTGTACCCACCCTCCTTAATTAAGGTTGTGAGAAAGGGTGGGAACTTCTCTGCTGCTTTATGGTCGGCGCTAGCTGATTCTCCTTGTATTTTTAGCTTGTGGATTGATATATGTTTCCTAAATCTATCAAACCATCCACGGCTGACACTGAACTCAGGTACATTGGGTTTATCTTTAGTTATATCTTTCCACAGCGATCTTGTCTTCTGTTGAATCACGCATTGCGATAAAGGTGTTTTAAGGCGCTGGGTCTGGTCGTCAATCCACGTGCTCAACATCCGCTCCATACTCTCCATCTCAGCAACACTGAACCTCGTCACCTTCGTAACCGTCAGTGGTGTTGCAGACCCAGCCATCTCCTTGATCTTGTCGGCGCTTTTAACTATAGAATGTACCTTAGAAGGAGCCTAGCCATACACAAGCCCAATCACTGACATTCCTTCTCTGTGTTCATGCCTTTTTACGATATTCAATTTTACGTCCAACGTAACTGCCACACGTGATCTCTTAGCAACACTGCTGGGAGTTTTAGTAGCTGTTCACTTAGGCACTGCGAGATCACACAAAACACACGCCAGCACGTATGAGACTGAGGCGAGCGGGAGAGTATGGAGGAGGAATACGTACACACACTGTCCTACGCTACGGTTGAGGCGCACGGTTCAAAATTTTTGCTCGTAAAAATTTGCGAATAAATGGGGCAACCATTGCGAATAGTGGAAATGGGTAGCAATAAATTGATTGCGGATAAACTGGGTTACAAATACCGAGGCTATGAATAACGGGGTTTGCCTGTACAGTGATATCTCCACTAGCCGGAACAATTGGTGAAGAGCACTTCCGGGAATGAGAGACTTCCGGGTAACGAGACAACTCTCTCAAAGTCGGGAAAAATCCCTCATCCCTGTAATTTTCCAGGTAAGGGAAAAATGTTTTCAGAAGTTCCAGAAAGATGCACTATTTCATCTCTCAAAGCCAGAAAAAATCCCTCATTCCTTGAATTTTCCAAGTAACAAAAACATTCTTGTAAGTTCTAGACAAATATCCCCCATCCCCAGAATTTTCCGGATGCCGGGAAATTTTTCTCAGAATTTTTCAGAAAATGTGCCTCTGAAAATTGTTCCTAAAGCCGGAATTTTCTGGAAAATTCTGGATTTGGTATAGATTTTCCGAGCAAATTTCAATTCCGGTTATCAGAGTTCTGGTTTAAGGGATTCCGGTTAACGGAGATATTACTGTATTGCCAAGCCAGTAAATGAAAGTCTATCTGAAAGTTCAAGACAATTGCCATTTGCATACACTCCCTGCTTTGCCATAGCAATGCAGACCAGCAAGGATGCTAGCTCCACCATCTCCCTAGCAACGCTATCCCCCTACACTCTGCACCCTCCTCCCCTCCCTCAGTGAGCCAGCTAATTTGTGTGCAAGGAAATGTATACAGTATTCCCTTTATGTGTTTGCCCTTATGACAATAATTTTTTGTACATATTTTTCACAATATGTATGAAGGATGATATGTGCATGTAACTGAGTAAAACCAAATGAAGAAAGTTAAGTAGAGCTACCCAAAAATATGAGTTGAGAAACAACTATAACACCTCACAGCTTGGCCTAGTAGCCTGGTGGTTGCAGTAATGAGTCTAACTTGGCTACAATGCCGCCAGAGATGTTAATACAGTAGATCAAATATGAAAAGAAAGTTATTTGTAAATCTTCATTTGTAGAGTATGGTATTTGTAGATTTTAAAATAAATGTTGCAGGTATGACATTAATAGATAGTAATGCTTGTAAGAGTTCAGAAATGGTTACTGCTTAGCTCTGAAGAGTTGGGTGCCTGCCGTATGGGTGTTAATCATCTTGGGTTTTCATCATCAGTACAGTATGTTATGACTCCAGCTTTTATATTAATAATAATTATTCTTTTTAATTAATTAAAACTACAATTATGTATTTAAGTAAGCAATAAAATATTTTTAATTCTGGAGTTGGGTAAGGTAGAAAAACAACATAAAACCATAAAATAAGAAAAATGAAGAGCATGAGGTATGAGAAGTGAACGTGTGTGTATGGTGGGCTATAACTACGTCTCTGACTCACCAGCCTAGCCGCCGCATTTATTGTTGCTTTTAATTAAATTATTAAAGTTGTAAAAAAAAAAAAAAAACATTAATATACACCAACCTCTCATTTTACGCGGGAGTTACGTTCTTAAGAACCACCGCTTAGTTAAAAAAACGCGTAAATTAAACATAATTTTCTCATAAGAATACATGTACAGTAAATGGTATAGGTTAGGGGAACCATCATATACCACATGTTATGCTGGTTAATTCCCCAGTTAACCAGGTTGGTACACATATAATATAATTGGGCTTTTGGTAACGAAACCCAATTGAAGTTTCTTGTTTTATTATAAAAGTATTATGTATATAATTCCTGAGTGTATATCAACCGTAAGTTCCACTATTTATGAGTGAATGAGAAAGAGGACGGCGTTTATGTAATATAAACGTGGATCAACGTCCGTTCGATAAAAGTTGGTGTGAGTGACTGACTAAGAGCGTCGCCCCTGGTGCGCGCTTACATAGATGCTGACATATGGGCTGCTCCCTCTTGGGAACGTTACCCTTCACATGATCAGTTCATGTCTTACTCATAGGTAGTGGAAAGTTACAAGGGGTGAATCTGAATATAAATCAAATGTATTAACCCATTTATATAATACGTTCTGTTGATGAGACAGGGGCCATTACACACACACAGGGTACGAACAGTGCTCTCACTTAAACCAAGCACGCGGCCAACCTCTGACACATGCTCTACTCTCTGAAGGCGGGTGATCTCATTTAATTTCATGTCCATTGCGATTGTTTTTTGTGCCTTTTTAGCTTTAGGCGCCCCAGAGGAGGCAGATGGACGTTTTCCAGACATGCTCAATGGGGAAAACAGCAAATGAGAGCACAAAGAAAAAGTTGTGCTGGTATGAACTGAGAAAGCGATATGCGGGAAGCTTGCTGGACGTTGTCACAGTTGTTGTACAGAATACTTCATTAACATCATTATCTTCATCATTAGTAGTAATAATCTTCATTATTACATTATTATAACAATTATAATTATTATTAATAATATTAAAATCGTTGATGTTGATATGACTGCAACTTTATAGTAATAACTTACAAGCACCTCACCAGGCATCACACGCGACTCCACTGCCAGGCGAATACGCGCAGCAAATTTTAAAAATAGGCGAGCGTATATTAGCTTTTGGTGTTAATTGAACAATCGCGTTATTCCAAAAACGCTTAAATCAAACGCGCGTAAAATGCGAGTTACCTGTATGAGGAGAATTAGAAAAAATGAATATAAATAATTTATTACACTATAGCATTTTTCTTGGAAATCTATATTTTCAGAGTATTTTAACCATTAAAATCACCAACAATATTTGTTATTTAAAGTGGACAGGGCTTTGAAGTAGAGGAGAAAAAATGGGATAAAATAAAAAAAAAAAAAAAAACAATAAACAAACTTTTAAAAACCTGGCCTAACATTTCCTACCCTTTAAAAATCCTAAAACCAAAAACAGTTTACCTTATTCATGTTTTCAGTATTTAGTAAGTGATGGTGGTGGTTTCGGTTTTTAGTAGGAGTCGGTATTTTAGGAGCTCAGATGAGGAGATCGAAAAACACAAAAGTGATTTTTCACATTTCTACAGGTAAGGAAACATCAAATAATGTTTTCAAAGGTTTGGTTGGTGTTCTTTCTAAGTATTTTACCCAACATTTACCCTCTACTTCAAGGGTCGGGGAACCTTTTTGGGTATTACCGAAAATTTTTTTTTGAGTAAAATGAAATTACCCCCAGACTTCAAAGTACACTAGTACAGTAAACAAAAATAAGCCAATTTGCTCCTAAAATTGTTGGATATGGTATATACAGTATATACAAAAAATTCAAATTCAAAAAATGTTTATTGGATCCATTATCATGGAAAAATAAAAAGGCCACACATTCTAGCATAAGAAAAGCACAAAAACAAAATTAGTAAAAAGGATTGGAGAACTGAAGAATTTCATTCAAATCATCTCCACTTTAGATTTTGGAAAATGATGCTGTTTCAATTTTGATACAACAGTATCAAAATCAGGGATTTTTGATGTCACAGCAACTTGAATGCTGTCTTCAGGGTCCAAAGAAAACGTTTTTTAACAATGCGGAGTAATCTCGAGTAAACTGAGGCTCTGATGGAAGTGTCTCATACCGCATGCATTACCCCCCAAATTTTTAGATTTAACCCCATTTGGGGTAATTTACCCGTTCCCCAGCCTCTGCTCTACTTTAAAGCCCTGCCCACTTTGAACAACTAAAGGTGGCACACAGGGTACTTTCCTCCAAACATATTGCCCGTTTTACTGGCAGCTGGCCTGATGATCAAGCAAGCAGCAGGATTTCGCCTGTTGCAAGAAATGGACAACAATTTGGCAGTGAGTTTTGCCAGCCGGGTTAGTGTTGAATATTCAAGTAAAATTTTTAATATATCATGACACAATAATATTTTAAAATATAACACATAAAATGGCGACACACTTCTATTTATTCGTCACCTTAAAACTTCTTCAGTATTATTCAATCAATATCCAGGGTCTTCTTTAAGCAGCCAGCTGCCACCACTTTTAAACAAACTTCACGATGCACCCATTGTCTTTTATTTAGCTTTTGCCGACGCCTCACTTGCTTCAGCAAGTGAAGAACTACAGCACAATCCTGCAAGCCCTCAACTGTAGTAACAGGATCCATGACAAACCTTGTCTACAGTTCGTTGTTGTTTTCGTTGCATTGAGCAGACGCGCCAACAAAACACCTCAGTGTGACGCAAACAACATTTTTGTTTTGCTGGCCAGAAAGTGTATGCCCAACATGTTCGGAGGAAAACTGCCCAGTGTGCCACCTCCTTGATATTATTGGGAATTTTATCGGTTAAAATACTGTACTGTACAGTACGTACTCAAAAAATATAAATTTTCAACGGAAACATTACAGAATAGAATTGGTTAATATTGACGACTGACCCACGGATGAGTTATTTGTTTTAGTGTTTATTTTCTTACTTTATTTTCATCAGTGAGTTCTGATATGGAAAATATTTCTTGTATAAATGCTTTGTTTCGTAGATAATTTGGTGCTTAGGCACGCATTACTTTGTCTGGTAACTATTGACAACTGACCCACGGCCGATTTTTCATCGAAAATTATTATAAAAACGCCACAATTTCACTGTGTTTTATAGTGGACACTGTCGTAGTTTGTGCAGATGTGTTAAAAAGTGGTTATTTCTAAATTAAACCTAACCT